CGGTTCAGCTCATGTCAAGGACACATCACAGCTGTTATGATCCATGTTAAAACAATTTTTTCATGCTGTTAGTGAAATATATCAAAACCAAATCAAATCAGACATAAAGCACTCCTTTCTTTAATTTTAAATCTTCTTTCATGATAAAAGAAATCTGGGATCACTACAGAGAGAAGATATCTTTCGTAGTTTCTTGTTAAAATGTCAAGAATCTCAAGAAAAAATAAAAACAAAGGACACATCACAGCTGTTATGATCCATCTTAAAACAATTTTTTCATGAAATATATCAGAACCAAATCATGTCAGGCATAAAGCAATCCTTTTTTTTAATTTAAAACCTTCCTCGAAGACAAAAGAAATCTGGGATCACTACAGAGAGAAGATATCTTTCGTAGTTTCTTGCCAAAACGTCGAGAACCTCAAGAGAAAATAAAAATATTAAAAAGAAGGCTCAGAGAGTTGCTGTATGTGCTCAAAGAAGAGCTATGAAAAGCTCCTCTCATACAAGAGGTGTCAGAATTATGGAGCACTCTTCATCACGGCCGTAAAGAAGGAAAAAACATAAGAGACGCAAGATGTAAAATGCATAAAAGCGGCTGTGCAGTCATCTAGGGTTTTTGAGAGCTGGTGAGGAACGCCGTGGTGTTGAGGGTCTTTATAGATCTTTAATGGGCTTTTAGATCTCCTTCAGCCCCGTCATATCATACTCGGCCCAAGTACACAGGTATGCCAAAAATCACTATTGGTCCCCCAACTTGTTTCTGGTCATTTTGACTCCTATGCATACTTTTCCCCTGCCTAATTGACCGTCTTGTAATCGTTTTTTTGATGCCTTTCTTCCTTTTAATCCTCACGCAAACTTCTTAGTGCCCGTTTTCTAGTGAAAAGCATTAAAATGATGACTAATACACTGCATCTCACCAACAATAAAGGAAAACAGTACATGGAAGAGTAGGATTACTTTATTGGGAAAGCCTAGTTTATTTTTTACATTTTAAAAACATTTTTGAAAAAAATTAAAAAAAAATTAATTTTTTATTTAAAATTAATATTTTTTTGATATTTTCAGGTTAAAAAATAAAAAGGTTATTTTAATGCATTTTCCACTAAATAACACCTTGATAAATAATAGTTTACTCAATCCCAAACACTCATGAAAAAGTGGAGAGAAGGGGTATGGAATCAATACAATGTCATCGAGTGATATGAGGTAGAAAGGGTAAATCTATTTATTTTTTTTTGGTTTCAATTGGAGGATCAACAGGCCTCGGGTTAACCCACTATACACCACTCTGAACTCATCAAAATTGATAGGTGGTGAAAAATGTCAAGTTGCACAGGAATACTGGGGGACAAAATTTCTGTGTCTAACCAGCTCATGGAGATCATGGACAATCTGGAATACAGAATCAGGTCTGGCCAGCTTCAGTGCATTTTGTGACATGGCCTTGAGTTCATCTGCCTTTGGACCAAATCATTCTGCAACAATCTTTGCAATCTCTTTCGGTGATTTTGAGAACTTCCTGCATCCATTCTCCACCACATGAGGCACGTTGCCTACTTCCTGTATTATTAAAGATCAGGTGAGAGTTAAAAGCATGCCCAGTTGGGAACCTGCAAAGTGCTGTTTCAACAAGAATGTATTTAGGATACCCATTATCTAACATTCCATCCACGTTATAGAAACATATTATGCAGAATCCTTGCAGATACGGGAGAAAGGGGCATCTTAAATGGAAGGATAGAACTTGCACTGCTACTCGATATTAAGCTAAATTATTTTTTTTTAAAAGCACACATCAGAGATCCTGCCAGAGTACAAGCCTCATCCTACAATTGTCTGGTATTGCTATTTTAGGGTCTTTCGGCATTGCATGTATGCTATTGAGGGATTTCCGTATGCTAGAGCAGCATTGCCAAAACCAATCGGAGCTCAAGCCTGATTACAGCATATAATATGCTTAAAATTAATATTTTTTTAATATTTTCAGGTTAAAAAATAAAAAAGATTATTTTAATACACTTTCCAATAAATAACACCTTGATAAATAATAGTTTACTCAATCCCAAACACTCATGAAAAAGTGGAGAGAAGGGGTATGGAATCAATACAATGTCATCGAGTGATATGAGGTAGAAAGGGTAAATCTATTTATTTTTTTTTGGTTTCAATTGGAGGATCAACAGGCCTCGGGTTAACCCACTATACACCACTCTGAACTCATCAAAATTGATAGGTGGTGAAAAATGTCAAGTTGCACAGGAATACTGGGGGACAAAATTTCTGTGTCTAACCAGCTCATGGAGATCATGGACAATCTTGAATACAGAATCAGGTCTGGCCAGCTTCAGTGCATTTTGTGACATGGCCTTGAGTTCATCTGCCTTTGGACCAAATCATTCTGCAACAATCTTTGCAATCTCTTTCGGTGATTTTGAGAACTTCCTGCATCCATTCTCCACCACATGAGGCACGTTGCCTACTTCCTGTATTATTAAAGATCAGGTGAGAGTTAAAAGCATGCCCAGTTGGGAACCTGCAAAGTGCTGTTTCAACAAGAATGTATTTAGGATACCCATTATCTAACATTCCATCCACGTTATAGAAACATATTATGCAGAATCCTTGCAGATACGGGAGAAAGGGGCATCTTAAATGGAAGGATAGAACTTGCACTGCTACTCGATATTAAGCTAAATTATTTTTTTTTAAAAGCACACATCAGAGATCCTGCCAGAGTACAAGCCTCATCCTACAATTGTCTGGTATTGCTATTTTAGGGTCTTTCGGCATTGCATGTATGCTATTGAGGGATTTCCGTATGCTAGAGCAGCATTGCCAAAACCAATCGGAGCTCAAGCCTGATTACAGCATATAATATGCTGAGGTCTACAATAAAGTTAGCCGACTTACTTGTCCAGCAATGTAATCATTCAAAATGAGACTGAAGAAAAAATAACAGCAGGGTCATGGGAAGCTAACCTTTGTGATAATACAGTCACAAACACCCATGCACTCCTCCATTTTAGTCACAAAACCCTCCACCTATATGATGGAGCATCATATTCAGTACTATGCATGCCTTTGTGGTTGGCTACGAATGCACAAGGATGCTTAATGCCTTGTGAATATGAAAGAGATGTAAAATCCCTAGTCATCCAAATGACTGCTGCAGTATGTTGATGGACTATATCAATGACAAGACAGCAGTGAGTTATTTAAAGGGGATGCCAATAATTGTCTCGAGAAGTAGAAAAGGACTGTTGGGTAGCAAGCACTGCCTAACTCCATGACGCAGATAGAATCTAGAGTTCAACTCGAAAAATCATGAGACTCTGATTGGGAGAGAAAAAAATAATAAGTTGATACCTTGACCGGAACCTAATCAATCGAGAGTAATCTGTTTGTAAGCTTTTTGTTGCGACCACATATCACGAGGACTTGACCTTTTGGCTCTCCAAGATTCTCATCATGTAATGAATCCGCAAGTGCTCTTGCAGTTGCCTCAATGGGACCCATCCCTTCCCCTCCTCCCATCAGTAGCACAGCCGGAAGATCCTCATTCATTCCTAGTTCTCTTCTTAATTCACCCTAATAAATCCAAGTGAAACAAGCTACATGAGTTAAATAAATGGCTTCATTTTTCATGCCTAGGGTCAAGTTTTATCAAGTCAATTTGTCTTTCTAAGGAACCTGCTCGATATCATTTCTTTCTTCAACTTCAAGTTTGCATAGACAAAAACATAACTTCAACATAAAAGCCATGTTCCTGAGAATAAAACTGTTGAATACTGGTGCACTGTTAATACATCAGGCTGCCAAGAGCCCATGAGAAATAGGTAAGTAATCAACTAGAATGATAACCAACCTTTGGTCTAACAGGCTTCACAAAAGGCCGTGCAGGAAGGCCATAAACCTTTATCTTTAAGGGCTTGAGCCCAGCTTTCACTGCCCTCTTTGATACATCTGTTGATGGGCAATAACATCTCGTCACAAGCTTATGGAACCTAACCATACAGATGTAAGATATCAAAATTCTAATAATGAGGTACCGCTAAAACAACAAAAACAACATTTACAGAATCAACCATGTAGGATGACAAGTGCTTAGATCGGTGACAGCAGTGGTCAAAACTATCTTCTGTAAAAGTCCCTTTGCCCTCAATATATGAAGAGGAACATGTTGCAGCAGTGGATGGACACTGATAATGATGTCAGGCTGGTATTTCATCAATCCTTTTGCAACCTCTCTACCACAAACAGAAATTAATGATCAAATAAGAACAGAATTGCATGCTACCATAGAAACTATCCTGAACAAACAATATAATTTCAACATCTGAGAAAATGATGACGAATCAGGACAAGAAATACTAACAAAATTTGGTCATTAGAGTTGCCCAATGGGAATTATAACTGATAGTGCCTTTTTTTCCACCAAGAATATATGATAAAACAAAAGCTGATGTTGCTCTTGGAAATATAACTATATATATCCAAAGAAGATAGAAAGTTCCACTGAGCTATAAATGTTGAAGTTGCAATTAGATTGATGAATCACACGTGGTGCAGTTCCATAATATGTCATTTTCCACAATGCCTCATGTTTCACCAGGAAGTTATAGCTTCTGGGCAATTGATCAAATGGCCAAGGCATATGTTCTGACCACAAATCAGTAATAAACAACTGCGACATGCACTTTTAACACACAACATGATCAACATAAACGTATCCAATCATCAACTAACCACTCCCCCCTTCTACACTAAATTGCTCACAAACCACAAAAATAAAATAAAAGAAAGAAAAAGAACTGGATACACATTCCTTTCTTTTTTCATTACTTTCATTATCATAAACCAACATGTAGAGACTCAATTAACATAATAGCTGCACAACACTTGAAAGAACATAAATTGTCATTTTCTCAGGTTCCAAATGATTAAAAAATAAAAAAATCTCTTCCATTTCCTTTAATTCCATATTGGCAATGCACCGAGATATTCCCTAAGCAGTGAAAGCAAATTTATATTGTATCATATTGGAAAAACTGACCTGATAATCATCACCAAATTCTTCATTGGAGGCAGCCTTAATAGCCTCGGCAGAAGCTCTATGACCACCACCAGTATCACTCATCAAAATGAGAACCCTTTTAGGAGTCCCACCTTCTACGCCATTCAAAAGCACACCATCATCCAACAAAACACCACATCCATCATCTCTTAACCCATTAGTATTATCACCATCATTGCTACTAATATTATTATTACCATTATTATCTCCTGAACCAATCTGAACTGAAGCAAAGCCAATTGGGATTCTCTCGGAATGGAGCCTAATAGTCCTATTAAACTCACTCCAAACACTTCTAAAACCACTTCTACTACTCAAACTCAGTGAAGCATTAACCTTTCTCGTATTTAGACCAACCGGGCTATCAAAAACAGAAAATCTGACCTAGAAAAAGATAGCCCATTTGAGTTTATGCTTTGAACTGCTCTGTTAAAAGCAAAGCCACCCATTTGAGCTACAAGTTCAAAGACAGAGCCCGATTTGGGTGGTGGTTACTGCCGAGGGGTTATGCATTGTGAGACAGAAAAAGTTGCAGACTTCCAAGTTATTAGATGATAATTAAGCATTCCATGTGGTCTTCAACATGTAAAAACAAATGGGTTATGTATAGACAGGAAGAAAGAAAATCGCTTTAAGAAAAAATGTTAGAGAGAGAGAGAGAGAGAGAGAGAGGTGATTGTTAGGTGTTTGATATTGTGGCTCTGAGAGACAGTACATGGAAGGGTAAAAATCCATGCATGTAATATGTTATTGGCTTCTTGTCTTAGCAGGAAAAATTCCATTATCCATAATTAGTATTATATTTAAGTTAATTTCAAGTTGATAACTCAATTTATCCTGATATATCAAGGTATTTCTCTAATTATCTTTTTATATCTGATGTAGTAAACTTATCCCAAAATATATGCCAAATTTCTATTTCATCATCCCAGCGGGATATTCATGATAATTTATCCAAATAAATATATACCAAACTTTCTAATTACTTGATTAAGGTCATGTTTGCCATGGCTATTCAACAGCCTTTAAAAAAAAATAGTTTTAAATTATTATTTTTTATATTTTTTTATGTTTTGATATGCTAGTATCAAAAATAAATTTTAATAAATAAAAACATATATTATTTTTAATAAATTTTTAAACCAAAAACACTTTAAAAACAATATTTACCATATTTTCAAGCATAATCTATCCTAATTATACATATAGTAAATTGCTTTGAATAGAAATATAAAAAAACATGTTAAAAAAAATATGTCATTGTATAAGGATAAATTGAATCATTAGCCCTTCTATTTATATAACAATATTGGTTAAATATCTTAAAAATAGAAAAGAGGTATGGAAATATTAACGTAAATTATATTAATTTTAATGCAATGTATTTATTATTTCATATGATTTTATTTAAATAAATATAGTATCGAATGGTGGCAGATTCATTCGGCAAAATTTCAAGTGAGGTTTGTCATTTATCAGTTATGATTGTTAGGTTGATATCAAGATTTTAATTTGAATGACAACCTTACTTATCTCCGTAATGAGTAAGTTTGTTGTTTATTTTAAATTTTCCATTTTATACTTTAGTGAATAATTAAATTTTGTGATTTCAAAATAGCCTTTAAACTAATTAATTTTTTTTTATCCAGCCATCCTCATATCTTTTTAAAAAATAAGATTAATTTTGCTTAATATTCATAATTATATGTATATTATTTTTTATATTAATGCATTAAAATACTTTAAAAATATCAAAATTATATCAATTAAAAAATTCAAAATATTTAAAACACATGTTTAAAATGTAAAAATAAACAAGCCCACCATTAAAAGGCGACAACTTTCTCGTGCTAGAGAACATGTGGTGCGTGAGCCAGGCACTGGTTGGATTTTGTGAATGGCCGAGTGGGGAACTCAACTTTCTCGTGCTAGAGAACGTTTGTGTTTTTTTTTTTTCACACTTAGTGGAAGATCCAATATGATCCAAGAGATCTTCCAAGTATTTTTCATGTTGAAAATTAGTGATGCGAGGCGTGCTGGTGTTACTTTCATTTGAAAGCTTTAATTTATTTATATTATAAAGTAAAATTAGTTATTAGAATTCAAGTTTTGATCAAATTATGATAATATAATAGAAAAATAAAATGAAAATAAGATTTTCGATGGATTTCAAGATTAACCCATGCAGCAGCGCGGCGTCCTGTCGTGGGAAGGCTTACTTTATTGCGTAGCTTTTAAACCGAACCCAGTAGTCGACTCGGTCTCATAATCAGATCACGGGTCAGATAGATTAACCCGGGTCAACCCGAAAAACATCCCAATAAAGTAAGCCTTCTCCTCAGTCTCTTATCTTCCAAGATTGCCTATTGGAAACCATCCCTAGATCCATAAGCCACAGATGGAGCCAGAAGGAAGAGATGATTCGACCGATCAAGGTCAGCCCTTGAAATTCCTAAACCTGTACAAGTTCCTTTATTTAATGGAAAAGGTGGGATTTTGATGAAGGATAAGCCCACTGTGAGTGGAGATTATTTGGTGAAGAAAGAGAGGTAAGCCAAAACAGTCCTTGGCTCACATGGGTTTTCATGTTTTTAACGGCGAGTGGAGATTAGTATACTTGTCAACACATGAAAACCCAGGCGAGCCAAGGACAAGTTGGGCTACAGTTTACGCTACTGAGTTAGCAACCGGGATGACTTGGAGACTCACCCCACATGGAATTGCTGATTTTAGCTTTGCATTCTCTCCTTCTGCCGTTTACACAGTTGTCGCTTCCTATTGAGAGAGAGGATGGAGCGGTGAAATGGAGGAACTCAGCACAGACATCTACTTATTCTCGACTCGTGATGGGACTAACTGAGTTAGGGTGGTCGAACACGGAAGGTGGCTGAGCTGGGTCGATGAGTTAGTGATTGTTGAACGAGTTACACCACCTGGTCTTCACGCGTTCAACCCAGCTACTTCTCCAAGTAACAAGAAGTTCATAGCAATAGCCACGAGAAGATGAAGAGCAAGACAATTGAAAAACAAGTAAGGCTGGGTCTCATCCGGGTTTACCCGGGTCTACCGGGTTTTTCCGGGCCAAATCCGTGGTTGTTTTTGACTTGGACCCGGACCGGACCAGGTCGGACGGGTACCGGGTTGACCCACCTGAACGGGCCAGGTTTGAAAACAAAGCTTTATTGGGATTTTTGGGTTGACCCGGGTCAACTCATCTGACCCGTGACCCGATTATTAAACCGGTTCGACTACCAGGTTAGGTTTAAAAAATATGGTGTCTACACTTATAGAGCTGAAGTTCTACCTTTGCTCTTTAAAGGACCTCTCGGTTCGGACACCAGATGCTCATATACGTTGTATCCTTTCTACTTGTCTGTTCCATTTATCTCATGACAGAGTGGAGTGCTGGGAAGGAAACCTCTGGGTGAGGGGTATCTTAGTTATTATGCAAATAGGAGTAAAAATAATAATAATAATAACAGAGTCTGGTAAGGAACTGGACCGTCGCGTAGAGGCTGGAAGATTTCGACAAGAACCGGCCTGGTTCTCTAAGTAATTTATCTTATTCCGATGTTGCCCTCTCGGCTCTTGCCACAACGTGGCACCCCAAGGATGAAGGCCACGTGTTACATAGCATGGGTCAATCTAGATGCATGGAAAATAAAGTTTAGGCCAAGAAGCAATTGCCAAAAGCCCATAACGAGAAATTCTGCACCCCCACATTACATCTGGATAAAAGCCCATGAGCTTTTGAGCCCACCTGGTATACAAGAGCCGCTGACGGCTTTGTAGCCCATAGATTTTTGTGCATCTCCTTGATAAAACAATGAGAAATTGCACTATTCACAATTCGATTAGCATCAATTCTAATTCGAATTTGATTTAAATTTAATGAATAAATAAGTTGAATTTACATGGTTGAATAAGATAAAATATAATTTATTTTGTTTTCTGCCTTATCTTTATCTTATTTCTTCGAAGTTTTCTAAAAAAGATGGATAAAGAAGTATTTTTTTAATAATAGTTTTTATATTGATTTTTTAAGATAAATATATCATCGAATATTTGTATCAATTTTTATTTATTAAGATTAAGTTGATATCTAATAAAATTTTAACCGGGTCATTCATATCTAAAATATTAATGTATTTATATAAAAATATTTGATTATAATTTTTTTTAATTAGAATAATACACGAGATATATATCAATTTATCAACTTAATTTTTTCTTTTAAGAAATACATGCACTCTAACAATTAAAATTTGGTATTTAAAAAAAAATCAAATTATCAAAAAAAAATAACAGTGGGATTGCATAGAAAACTACTTTATGGTGCTGTTTAAAGCTAATTATTTTTTGAGATTAGTACATTAAAACCATAAAAAAAAACTCATAATAAATCAATTAATTTGATATTTTTGAGGGTAAAAAACAATTTGAAAAACTAGCTGCTTCTATTGTTTATGAGATTTTCCCCTCTACTGGGCAAAGCAAAAGGAAGCAAAACGTGATGGAAGAAAACTTAAATTCTTGGTGTGATCAATCAATACAGCAACAAAAGCAGGTAAATCGCTTTTTTAGCTTTGTCAAGGTGAAAATCCATGCTAGAAACAAGTGCCTGAATCCGCCATGAAAGTGGCTTGATGCACTTGTTTCTAGCAAAGCCTATAGCAGTAAAATCCGCCATGAAAGTGGCTTGATGCACTTGTTTCTAGCAAAGTCTATAGCAGCAAAACTTTGTCTTGCGTATAGAAGACAAGCATATCTTCTTCCCCCACCCAGCCATTGGCATCAATTCTTACATGATGGCATTTAGAATTTCTACTACATGTGTCTGATAATGTGATTGAAATCATATTTTTTAAAATTTAAAGTTATTTTATTTAAAATTAATTTTTTATATTTTTATATTATTGTAATGTGCTGATATTAAATAATTTTTTAAAAATATTATTATTATTATTTTAATATATTTTTAAGTAAAAATTACTTTAAACCACAATCACTATTACAATTCCAAACACTCTCTTTATATTTTTTTCTTTTGTTTAAAAAAGAAATTTATTGTATTAATCTATTCTTTAAATAATTTCTTGTATAAATTATTGTGAAACTCGTCTATCTTAAATCTCTCATCTTAGATCAAGTTTAAAATTAAACCAAGTAAGGAGTTAATATGTTAAGACATGATTAATTTGATGTATTTTAAATTATCTATTCTTTAAATAATTTATTGTATAAATTATTGTATTAGGTGTATTTTAAAAATATATTTGATATTAAAAAATTATTAATTAATAATTTTTTAGTATTTTTTTAATACTTTTGATATATTAATATTAAAAATAAAAAACTAAAAAAAAACTTATTTTAATATATTTTTAAATAAAAAATATTTTAAAAAAAACACAATACACTACAATACTAATCACACCTTACTTCTTCCCATTGAAGTACCACCAATCATCAAATGATTGGGAGAGATTAACCGAAACAAAAACAAAAACTCATTGGGAATAAACAATGATTGTAAACTTCGTTAATCCTAACATCTGCGAGACTAATCAAAACTATAGAAAAAATGGGGCAATTCCTTGACAAACCCCCATATTTTGGGTTTAGATTGTAGTTGGTAGACTTTATACAGGAATTGACTTTGAAAAAGGGTTTGGATTACT